GGAAAATGCCACGCGCCACAGTGCCGACAAGGAGAGGGTTTGGATTTCGCCTTGGGGGCTGGCTTGGGAGCTGGCTCAAGCCGCCTTACCAGGGGTGGCTTAGCTGTTGCGATCGCATTCACGGAGCCAGCAACAGAAGTGCCTTGGACCATGGCCGAATCGTGCGGCCAGTTTTTGGAGGGCACCTTAGCTGCTCTGTTTCACGTGGGACAGAAGACGAGTCCGGATGTCAGAATCCTTGGGGGACTGGTGCTCGCAGATGAATATGAGGCATTTGAACTGGTCTTCCGTGAGAGAGCCGAGTTGAAAACACCCACACTCGCGATTCACAATAAATAATTTTTGTATATTTAAGGCCCAAGGGGCCCTGTCGTTACAATGCTGGCGTAAGTGATGAAATCGTCAGAAAGCGGCGTCGACACGGCGCAAGTCAGATCAAGTCCTTGAGTGTGTAACAGGTACAGCAAAATTAAGGCAACAAACGAGTTTGAGCTAGGTCCAGCGAGCCAATCAGCTTTTGGCTACCGGCGTGATTGACTGGGACTCGGCGGCTGAAATTCAGCTGAAATTTTGAATACTCGATTGATTTGACTGCAAGTTGTGTTTGCTGCCTGTGTCCGATCGATAGCCTGGTGTGTGCACAGCTACTTGCGCCGGCTATCTATCTGTTTGGCTCGGCCCAACAAAAGCAAGACAAACTTTTCATGTGAAGAGCTAAGACTCAGACGGAATGTCGGGTTTTACCCACAGTAGCAACTGAAGACCCTACCTCTACGTCAACAATGGCAAATTTGTCTCTGAGGTTGGCCCTCTCGCCCACGTAAGCCTACGTCCATCTGGATCAACGGCAATTTTACTCGTTCACCTTACTCCTGATTCGGAGGAAATCGTGGCAACGCAAAGTCGTTCCCTTCTAAGCCAATCACGTCTGTGATAGCTGTAAAACCTATGGATATTCCTAGTTAATCTAAGTCAATTGTCAAATTCAGAGATGTCATTACTGCTAACACTTCAGCAGCTACAACAGCTGCAAACACTCACCGTAGCACTTCCGACGGACAGGAAGCTGAATCAGACAAAAGGGAACACCGTAAATTAGAAGAAAGTGCTATCAGCACAATGTCTATAAAGCCCTTCATTGACTTGGACTTTGAAACCCCTGTTGTTAGTTTGTCCAGGATTAGTAGAATGAGCAAAAATGGCAATTTCACCTTAATCTACACTTGTTCACCTTATTCAGGATTCGAGGTAAACCAGGGCAACGCTAAGTCGTTCTCCTTTTAAGCCAAACACGCCTGTGATAGCTGTAAAATCGGGTGGACCTAAAAATCCCTGGTAAATTTGAGTCAACTACTAATGTATACAGTTTTTCAAAAAACTTCATGCCATTTTCAAATGCACATTTTCCGGCAAATTATGCTAAAATGCCTCAGACGCTAATTTGTGCCCATTCCTATTTTTCCCATGCCACAATCTAGCCTTCTTTTCTATGGATCCCCATCCCCAAAATGTGTCTTTTTACAATAGTCACAGTTCCCTTAACAATAGCTACTCAACAAATTGTAGACCAGGGCCAATTTTTCCCCTTTTTTGTTTATCTCTTGCAGTTTCCCTCTCCACTACTACGTTTTCCTCTTTTATAAATACCTATGAGCGTAACCTTCATCTCAGGGACACGCTCAGTGTAGTCTCACTTAATGCCAGATCGGCTTTAGAAGGTACCACAAGCAGTCGTAGCCTAGCTGACCCGTCGCAGAAACCAAAGACGTGCCCCCCTTAAGCTGTTAATTTTAGATGTCAGCTCTGTTTAATAAGATGCCTGTACTCCAGAATCTGGTTTTCGTCAACCACCCAGACATTGGTATGGTAACAGAAGCATGGGCATCGCCCTGTGTACCTGACTCCATACTCTCTAGTCTAGGCTATTCTTACATTCGGAATGATCTAACTATGGCCGTTGCGGAGGAAACTGTATGTATGTTAAGCAAACACTTACACTTCTCCCGTTGGACTATCCATGATTTACGGCTGTAGAGGAGAGCTGCTGGCTCCGAGGTATTCTAAAGAATAACTACTTACGCGTTGACTGTGTATATCGCCCACCCAATGCCAGTGGGAACTATGATCTTTGTCTTTCGCAGGCATTTCATGCCGCAGCCGACTTGAATCTTCAGTACTACTTGATAACAAGCGACTTCAATCTTCCTGGAGTGCAATAGTTCCCGCCCTCGGATCGTCCGAATTTTGAAAACACACTTGAGGCTGTAGACATCTGTATATGGACCTAATTTTCTGTAGAGGCTGTGAACCAATGTCAGTGTCATCTATAGGCGCACTTGGGAATTCAGACTATCTCACAGTTGTTACTACACTAGAACTGGAGGCAGACGGAAGATTTTCCCAAAATGTAGTTTTTATTCATGACGCCCGATCAGAAAATACCGCGGAATTACTGACACATCTTAATTCTGTCGACTGATCTGACGTTTTACAATTTTTTTGATATGAATGTTTGTATTGATACACTACAAAGTGTTGGATCCGCTCATCTCCCGTTTGTCCCCCGTAAGATAATTGTGCATGTCAAGGATGAAATGTACCTTCGTCTGTATTTCCGCCGTAGGCTGCGTAGACTCTCACGTCGTTTGCATCAACAGAAAGACACTTCTGTTCTGCCCTTGATCCAATTGATATGTGAGCAGGTTAATAAGCTTTCCGAAGAAAAGCGGATAGCCGATGAAGTCAGCTTTGCTGAAAACCCTTCGCTAAATCTTGCACAACTCTTCGCGCGCATTCAAAGCGCAGCACCCCATACTTCAAGAAGCCTTAGGGAACCACATAGTTGACGCTAACTTAAGCGTTGATCGCTTCAATGCGTTCCTATACAGAACGTTTAGTGAAAACTCGGTCGCTGCATTTCCGGGCTTGCACGGGTGGCGTCCTCGAAACCATAGGTTTTACGCGCTGGGACGTGATTGTAACTATTCGTCATGTTCTTCAACCTCATAGTCCAGGATCAGATGGCCTCCTAGTCAGCATTCTAAAGGTTGAGGCAAATGATATTTTTTCCGTCTATTCTGTGTAAGATATTTAATGTTGCTCTTGAAAACGAAACGTTTCCTATGTTGTAGAAGGAATCGCACATACTTCCTATTCCCAAGCACGGCCGATCGACGTCTTCTGACGACTTTAAGCCAGTAAATACACTTCACGCAGCCTCGAAGATCTTGGAGACCTTGATCAAATAGAAGATCATGCGTCATTTGACAGGGAGCAACCTACAGTAGATTACATATCTGATGAAAGGTTGGACATTGTAAAATTTTACGCATACTTGAGGTTGTTTATTTGGTTCATTGAGTTGACTTGAGGTGCAAAATGTTGTTTACTAGAATTTACTTTCGTTCATATCAGAATACTGCGAGAAAATATAGGCGTAAATTGGCAAAATCCAGCGTTTGTTGATATCCGATTAATTTCCTACGCTATTGAACGCTGCGGAAAAGAACTTCTTGTGTGTGCATGT